TAGTAGGTAGGAGAGGCGGCCTCCCTGCCTGGCCGTGGCCTACATCTAATTTCGTTCCTGTTAAACGTACAGTTCGTTTAGTTCATGAGGGTCCATTGATTCAAAGAATTCCTTGAATTGTTCATAATTAATACTGAATTTAAAGTAACTTTCTTCTGGTTCTAATTAACCTTTTATGAAAGTGATTTTTAATACAATTCAATTTTCATCGCGGTGAGCAAAATCTTCTCGCGGTGACGAAAAAATGAGGTATTTTTTTTTTGCACACGAACCTAAAAAATCCCAAAGCCAAGCGTCCACTATTGGAAAAAATATTGGACGGTGGGGAATAGGCAAATAACATTGGGGGTTGCCGTGATGATGTCACGATTGACTTATAATATTTATTGGTGATCCGCTCTCGAGCGGATCACCTCTTGTTATAGTCAGAATGATCATCATCTTCATCTTTTTTTTAATTCTTCTTTCTTTCTCCTCATTTTAATTCCCAGCTTCAGTACGTGCAGTGCGCGTGGAAATGAGCGTACGGTGCGTAAATTTTGGAAAGTTTTGGGATGCTAAAAATGACCTGAAACGTGATTTAAATTATCTGAAAATTGTTATTGAGAATTCCTAAATTTTACCGTACACACACGACACGACGTGCTCGTGGACGGTAATGGCACAAGAAATTGACCTATTAGTCTGATAGCGTCGAAATACAGTCTGCGCCCTCTATCTGAAAAGTGATCTTGAGAATTTCCTAATTCTACAGTACACGAACGTCACGAAGTGTTCGTGGACGGTAATAGCACGAGAAATTGATCCTTGTCAAGAGTAATTCAAAAAACACCTGTTGGTTGGTACTGCCACTCAAATTTTCCCTTCATAATGTACTATTATATTAATCTGATAGCGTCTAAATACAGTCTGCCGCCCTCTATCGTTATTGATATTTGATAAATTTAAAGAGAGATGAGAAGGCTCCAAAGATTCATTCATTTTTACCATGATGACGTCATCAAAATGAAAAATAAAGGGACACTTTCGAAAGAGAATTGTCTCAGCTAGAACATACTCACAGGTGGGAGACGATCGAACAAGAATAAGCAAAACACGTTCAAATAAGTTTTAAAATAATGACGTTATAAATAAAAATTCAGTTTTTTCTTAATTCAAATGGCAATGTGATGACGTCACAATGTCCGATCAGCCATAATGATCTTTAAAATCATATCTAGAACTCATGTGCTTTCAGAATATGTAATAAATATATAAATATTGGGGGTCACCTTTCATCCTAAGGAGTTATAACTGATTAAAAAAATTCATGATTTTAAGCACATATAAATTTTGACGCTCGCGTACGCGCACGCTAAAGAGCGTGAACGGAAAATTAGGGTACATGATATTCAACCTTGACCTGAAGTTTATTCTCACTTAATATGATTCAGAAATGACGAATAGTTAATATGCTATAGGGTCATCAACATTTTGAGGAATGAAAGATTTATCGCTACTATTTATTATATACCTCATCGTCTATTATTTTAATTACTTTTTATATTGCTACTACAGTCGAGTTCGCATAAGTCGAATCTAATGGGACTGGCATAAAAAGTTCGAGTTATACAGATTTCGACTTGCACATTTTCGAAAAAAAAATATTAACATAGAACAATACTATGTGTACTCAATGCCCACAAAATCGAATTTCACGCAAAACCGAACATTTTCTTAAGTCCCAAACTCATTCCTATTCTTCTTTTAAAAAAATACGTTCCGAAAACAAGAACTCCCTATTCCAAATCTCGGACGATTTGTCAAATTCAGGACGGTAACACTCACTCGAAAAACCAGACGATAGTTTAACGACATCGTTCAACGACAAGCATACCAGACGCTGTGAAAACGAGACGCTTAGCTATACTCGCATTGCCATGGAGATTATCTGTTAATTAACACGACACACCAGTAGACGTTTTCTTGGTTAATTATGAAGTGAAATTTACGCATTCCAATATTTTAATAAGTGTATATTCTTGCTTTTAATCCTTAAAAACCATTTGGAATCATCTGCAATAAAGACGGAACTCAACAAAGCAAGTTTCTACTGGTTACCGGTACTCTTTTCAGTAGACGTCTAGAATTCAAATTCGTTAGATTCGTCGGTGTAAATTTCAAATGCAACTCATTCATTTTTTAAACTCAAGACGCTTTTCAAAACATGTTGCTAATTTAATTACGGAAGAAATTTGTAGAGAATAAAATATAATTTGTTAGGTTTATTTAGATTTGACTCTAAAATATACCATGAGCGTTTCTTGTTTTTTGTTTTGTTTTATAAATTTGTTTAATTAAAAAATTCTTGATTACACCGAGCTTGTTACTGTCACGCACTATGAAACTTTGGGCGATCTGACGTCATCACAGCCGAAGCACATGTCTAGTCTGCAAAACACCCCACGAAAATGGACCAATTGGCGGGCAGGCAGAGATTTTGGGGGCGCGACCTGTTCTGTTTACAACTAGACTGCCGAGCAAGTGGCATTGCCCAACGAAGAATGTGTGCTTGTAAAAACATAATCATACCTAAAGAAATGCACGCAAAAACAATATAAAAGTCGCATCAGTTTTATTGGTAATAATTAAATTTGCTGAGCAGTACAGCAAAGCAACAGGTACTGTACGTATTATTAAATAATGTGTTGAATTTGCGTAGGCTAGACAGTCAAAAGAATCCAGGGCTTTGATAAATTAATCAAATGGCTAGGCCCTGACTACAACAATCTTGTTCGAAATAGGTTCAGTACAAGTTTTACAAACTAAACTGGACGAAAAACTGAACATTAGAGCCAGTCCGGAGGGGTGTCTGTATTGTGAGAGTAGACTGCAACTTACGACATACGATCATGTGAGCCAAGTTCCACAGCTCGCTGTCTAAGATGTTAGTTTGATATGGCTAACTTGTTGCCGTACAACAAGGATTGAACTTCGTATTTTCCCACGGCTGTGTATTTTTCCCACGTGCGCTACTAAATTTGGAACTTCGACTTGTGTGGTTGAAATTACTTTAAAATCGGCCTATTCGGACCGGAAAATTCCGTCGGTATAGCCGAAATTCGACTTATAAAAATTCGAATTAAACAAACAATTTACACAGTAATACATAGGAAAGAATTGGGACTTTTTCAAAAATTCGACTGACGCGAATTTTCGACTTAAACAGAGTCGACTTTGGCGGACTCGACTGTATTTATTTTTTTTAAAATCTAAAATGTTAAACTAAAATTTTGAATAGCTAATTTTTCAAGGATCAAATACGTTATTAACCTCAAACCAGAAGCAGAAGTATATATATACAATAACTGCTGCTTCCACGTATGTTCTACTAATATAACAAGTACGGCATACAATTATTCTTGGTTGAAATAAAAAAAATACCTAAACCTAACAATACATTAGCACCAAAAGCTAAAAGTACTTTAGTTGTTTTTTTTTTTTTTTTAGCTAAAAATACTTTAGTTTTTTTTTTTTTTTTTTTTTTTTTTTTTTTTTTACAAGTGAAGCTAAATAAACAGCCTTCAAAATTTAAAAATGATCAAAATGTTACAGCCATTAATTTAGAGTAATAAGTTTAGAAAAACAAAGCATCAAAGTTTAAACAAATATTTTCCAACTATGCAAAAACCTGGCTACACATTGCTTTTACCATAGCCTTCAACAACGACGAGACAATGATAGTAATAATTAGAAAAGGCGATATGACTCAGGTAAAGGAATAAATAGCACTACTAAAAATAACACAGGAAAATAATAGAAGTTCGAAAATTTACAGGACATTACAATGTTACACGCTGAAGAAGGTTGTAGGAACAACCGAAATGTCCGTGAATGAAATAAATAAATATTTGTGTGTTCCTTAAGTCTACTAGTGATGTTTTATTTTTATACATATATATATATATATATATATAGCCTACGATGTTCCATCATGTCCTTATTTAACACTGTAGCTTTTCAACGAATAAAGTCCTATAAAAGTCATTGTGTAATAAAATGCCTCCGACGGGATTCGAACCTGCGACCTCTCGCTGACAAGGCGAGCGTCATAACAACTAGACCACGGAGGCTTCATGGTTGAACAGGTCCAAATAACCGTCGGCAACATTGTATTACACAATGGTGCGCCTCAAGAGGGCGTTCGGCCAGATAAATTATCTGGAGAAACGGCTAGAAATAAATACTGTCGTATATTGTATGATATTGAAGAAAGTTAGCCGTTAACACTGCTGAATAAATATAATATAAATCATCAAAGGTACATATACAGTGTTGTATATATATATATATATATATATATATATATACATATAATATGTAATTACTGACATTTGCAGTGGTTCAGGTCGTTCTGCATTTGTAGCTACTGCTGCTTGGCATGGCAAACAGCTTTTAACTTGCTGCTCTACCATTTTATCAATGCCAAGGAACTACCCTCTTTATCCTACAAGTGCTTTTGTTTTCACCATACATGGTGTCCTGCATGTGCCAACTCTACTGCCTTATATCTCAAAGATTTAGGAATTAATATTTGGTGTCCACTTAGAACGATTTTATCAACCACTGCAAACTCATCTTTCATCCTTTTAAACTGTGTTTTGATGTCTGTTCTCTGCTACTCTCTTTCTCTATATCTTCCTGTGTCATTGGTTTTGGTACAGAGTTTTTCACAACATAATTTACATAACTTATCATTCTTGTTGTCTCTGTCTCTACTGCATTAGATTCACAATTACTTGGTACAGGGTGTCTACTCAAGTAATCAGCTGGATTGTCATGGCCTGGTCTATAAATGATCTGACAATCATAAGACATTAGCCGCCGTAACCACCATCTCTCTATTCTAGCTGACATCTGCTTTTGACTCTTAAATATCCCCGTCAGGGGTTTATGGTCTGTAATCACTCAAAACTTGGCTCCATACACGTTAATTCACGTAATGGTTAGGTGATTGAAGCTTAATCTAGAATAAACCTTGATAGATATTGAGCTAGTCCCAACAATGATTTCGCTTCACTGGATGATGATGGTTGTGGAGCTTCCCGAAGATATCCTATCTTCCTTGGATCACCTGCTATACCCTCACCATTGAAGATACGTTCATAAAATTTGACCTCTGTCTTACCAAAATTACATTTCTGTGCATTTAATGTTGCACCACTCTGTTTAAGTCTCTCAAGAACCTGTCTCTTATACAATCAAGAGAGAAATAAATATGGTTGTCATGCATACTTCGTGGCAGCTCCGTGTCGTATTTTTTATAAGGAGGATGATAAACACACGAAACGGAGCTGTCACGAAGTATGCATGACAACCATATATATTTCTCCCTTGATCTCCTCTAGAGGGCGTACTACACTACATTCTCTCATCAACTTTAGACAATATTGGTTTATACCAAAACCAATAGAACAATGTGTCAGTAGAACCAGTGTGTCAATACATTTTAAAATATTTTAAAACTAAAATCTATTGTAAACTAACTATTTCTTTTAACACAACTATAATCAATCAGTTCGAAATTATAAATATATAAAAAAAAAACCAAAAAACAAAAACAAATCATTCCTACTGATACTGTCATTCATGTTGCTATTCATATCAACCTTTAATCATTATCGAATTGGCAAATGTTTTATTTACATATTTATTTATCATGATTATTATTTTTTTGAACACTATCTAATAATAATTACATCATTAATTTCCAGTACAAGTACAATATTCGGTGAACACAATTTTTCTTCTTTTATAACGTTCAATGTTTCTAAATCAAATGCTTGTGATCAGGTTCAATCAAGCTGATATAGTTCAATCAGTTATTCAAAAAATCAAGTCCGATGAATTTTAACGCTTATTGGAAATCAAGTTCAATCAAAAACGCTTGTTCAGAAACAAGCTCAGTCAACCGACCACAAATTATTTTTACCTCTTAGGCATTCTGCGTATCCTTTGAGGTTTCTCTCTTCGTCATTGTCTTTGTTGATTCTCAGCTAGAGTTTCTTGTGCAGCTTCCGCAACAACACTGAAATCATCATCTTCGATTATATTCTTCTTCTGCAATATACTGTTCTTAGATTTTGCTAACTTTCTTCAAATATGAAATGTTCATTCTAATTATCTAACCATCTCTTTCTGCTACAACTTTATTTCCTTTTCTCCACTTGACTCTGTATGGATTTGGGTCAAATGGTGTTGACAGCACATTTGTCTTTTGCTGCTTCACCAACACATTGTCTCCAATCCCTAAACTACTTTGTTTTGTGTGCATTGAACATCCGCTCGCTCTTTGATTTTCTTTTTCTGTTCATTCTCTCTTCTACGCACTTCAGCGTCACTTTCCTGTTTTCACAATGTCCAATTTCCACTGATGGTAGACGAATTCTAATCTTCCTTTCATAATTATAACAACTCTGCTGGACTCTTAGCTGTGGTAGAATGTGGAGTTGCTCTGTACTGCCTAAGAAAATCATATAATGCGTGATAAACATTCTTTCCTTGAATACTAGCTACTTGGAGAACTTTAGTTATTGTCCTCATAAATCTTTCCACTTCCCCATTTGCCCTCGGCCACAAGGGTGTTGCTTTACGGTGTATGAATCCCTGATAATTAGCATACTGTTGAAATTCTTGACTGTTAAATTGGGGACCATTATCAGACAACACAACATTCGGTATTCCGTGCCTTCAAAATATAGCATCCAATTTCGGTATTGTTGCTCTTCCCGAAGTTGTCTGTACCATTTCAACTTCTGGAAATCTGCTATACATATCATACACTACAAGGAGATACTGTCCATTTGGAAGTGGTCCTTTAAAATCAATTGCCACTTCAGTCCAGGGTGATGGCGGTATTACTGACATTTGCAGTGGTTCAGCATTTGTAGCTACTGCTGCTTGGCATGGCAAACAGTATTTAACTTGCTGTTCTACCATTTTATCAATGCCAGGGAACCACACTTTTTCTCGTACAAGTGCTTTTGTTTTCACCATACCTTGGTGTCCTGCATGTGCCAACTCTACTGCCTTATATCGCAAAGATTCATGAATTACTATTTGGTGTCCCCTTAGAACGATTTTCTCAACCACTGCAAACTCATCTTTCATCCTTTAGAACTGTGTTAACTCAGGATCATTCCAATCTTTGTGATTTCCACTTACAATAGCTTTCTTGAGTTTTGATAATGTCTGGTCTCTGCTACTCTCTCTTTCTCTATATCTTCCTGTATTGCTTTTGGTACATCGTTTTTCAAAACATAATTTACATAACGTATGATTTTTGTTTTCTCTTCTGCATTAGATTCACTATTACTTACAGGATGTCTACTCTAGTAATCAACTGGATTGTCATGGCCTGGTCTATAAATGATCTGACAATCATAAGACATTAGCCGCCGTAACCACCATCTCTCTATTCTAGCTGACATCTGCTTTTGACTCTTAAATATCCCCGTCAGGGGTTTATGGTCTGTAATCACTCAAAACTTGGCTCCATACACGTTAATTCACGTAATGGTTAGGTGATTGAAGCTTAATCTAGAATAAACCTTGATAGATATTGAGCTAGTCCCAACAATGATTTCGCTTCACTGGATGATGATGGTTGTGGAGCTTCCCGAAGATATCCTATCTTCCTTGGATCACCTGCTATACCCTCACCATTGAAGATACGTTCATAAAATTTGACCTCTGTCTTACCAAAATTACATTTCTGTGCATTTAATGTTGCACCACTCTGTTTAAGTCTCTCAAGAACTGTTGTCAAATTATCATCATGCTCTTGTTTTGTCTTCCCGTAGACTATGTCATCGGATATGTTCTTATAACAATTTAATCCTGCAAGCAAATTTCTCACTGCTGATGAAAACAACCCTGGTGCTGAATTTACTCCAAACATCAGTCGCTTGTAGCGAAATAAACCAGCCTACTATCTTGGTGAAGAAAAACAACTTATGATAGCCTGATGATAAATCTAATGTACTGAAGAATTTTGATTCATTGAGGTCTGAAACTATCTCATTAAAAGTGGGAATCAGGAGTTTCTCTCGCCATATGGCTTTATTGGCATCTCTCATATCTACACATATTCGCACTACTCCATCTCTCTTCGGACGACCACAATGGGGCTGACCCATGGCGTTGGGCCGTCAATCTCTTCAATGATATCCAACTCTAAAAGCCTCTTTAACTCTTTGCCGACATCAACTCTGACATGGAATGGAATTCGTCTATGCTTCCGTTCTTTTGGTGGAACATCACTATCTATGTGAAGTTTTATCTCTACTCCCTTGATATTTCCAATACCCCTGAACAATTCTGGGTATTGCGCATGTACAGTTGTATCAACTGGATCCTGGGCAGCAACTGTAGCATTACACGCTTTACTAACTTTAAATCTTGAGCTGTTTTCCAGGATAGCAAATTTCCACAATGTCCTTGCACAGTGGGAAAATTTCAGCAAGTGTCTATACCTCTTACAGAAACAGTCAAGGTGGTTGATCCTAATACAGTCATCGGTGTAGATTTTCCATATCCAAAAATTTGTGAAGTCACACTCTTAATTGTAGACTTTGGTTTAATCTTTGCAAATAAGTCACTATCCAGGACATTCACTGATGCACCTGTGTCAATGATTGCTTTTAGTTGTGTCTTATTCTTTTTATCCAGAACCGTTACCTTGCATGTCGGTAGTTTCTTACTTGTTTCTGGAAAACCATATACATAATCTGGCTCTTGATTTCCTCCTAGTTCCTCTACAAGATTAGCCTGATGTGCACCCTTTCTTCCAAATCTACATGATCTTTTATAGTGACCATATTCTCCACATCCATGGCACTGTTTTCCCGTCGCTGGACACTGAACAGTATGTGGATATTCCAGTCAGCATGTTGTGCATGTGGAGCCATTGTTATGCTTTTTGTGTTGTTTCCCTGTGAATGACTGTCTCTTTGATTGGAATTTTCTTGAATTTTTCTTCTGTTGAAACTTTTGTTTTGATTTAACAAAATTTATTTCAGGTACATGTCTGCTTTCGACATCAGTTGCTCTCATTTCAGATAATTCAAGAGCACGAGCAAAGGTCTAAAATACCTGACAAACCTCTTTATTTTTCTAGAGGTTTGCGTCGGAACTTGCTAGATTTGCATCCATCAATGACCTGAGTTTTAATTTCTCGATCCAAATCACTAAACTCACACCGTACTGCCTGTCTTCGCAATCTCGCATGATACTGATCCATAGTTTCATTCTTTTCTTGTTTCATCCTTCTAAGTATAATTGCCTCATAATCTTTTTTTTTTTTTTATCTCTGGAGCAAAACGTTTGTTAAGAGCATCTTTTGCAAATGTATATCTACTCACAGGTTCTCCATCTGCTTGCTCTGGTGGTTCAGTATCTGGCAGCGTATCAAATTCCTCCTGCAAATCCTGACTGCCATAGAATAAAAGCAGCGCACGTTTTCTTTCATCACCTTGAATGTCGAACCCTATGACATGACATCTTCAAAACGAATAATCCACTTCTCCCACCGTTTGCCCCTGTTTGGAATATCTGTATGTACTTCGAAGCAAGGCAAACTAGGCATACTGTACGTTTCCATTGTCGATAAAATCAGCGGAGAAAATAAATAGCTGAACTCTAATAGTAATAGGCTCCATTTGCTACCGATGCAGACGGCGCACAGTGGGCCAGAATCAATTCAAAGTGTGCCAAAAGTCGAAAATAGGTAATGTGACAACTTCAACCTTTAAAGGTTGTTTGAGGTCGAGAACATTCTAAGTTATATTAATCCACAAATAATTTCATATTTAGTGAATTTTCATAGTTTGATATAACCATGTCAACATGAAAAAGTTGTATTTTACTCGTAAAATGATAAAATTGACAGTTTTGAAAAACTCTCTATGACTTTACTTAGATGAAAGCAGTCAACTTGATACTTCTTGCAGTATTTTCCTATTGTTAAATAAATTAGATAGTAATATAAAAAATGACATTATTGGTATATTTTCAGAATAAAGGACATTAAATATGAGCCAAAAACGCTTAAAAACATTTTTTTCATAAAACCAACTTAAAAGTTAAAATTGCCGGCGATTTTCGTCATGCTTTGACATCAACATTTCTGGCAGAGCCTAAGCTTTACGTTAATGCCAAGTTTAGCTGCCAATATCTGCCACCCTGCATTTAGCAAGCGATTTAATATACCCCCTCCTCTACAAAAGTGCCATTTTCTAATTAAGGTATACGATAAAATCATTCCTACAGCCATTGGGTGCCAAATGTAAAAACACTCGATTTCCAGTGTCATATCTAGGAGTGAATTGGGGAGGGAGATCATTGGTGGATCTGGAGGGGTCAGGGTCCTGACCACACCCCCTTGGACAAAACATTATAATAAAAATAATAAAAAAATAAATCTAGACTTACTTTTCCAGGACCCGTAAGCTGATTATTGAATTTTGTGTTACAATTGGACAATTAAATGTCGGAAATGCTCAATCAAAATTTTGATGGGGGAGGACCCCGTTTCAAAAAGAAAAAAAAATGTGTAAGCAATTAATCATATTTATACCTCTACACACTGTATTAAAAATAAAAAATAAATTTACCTGACCGTTTTCAATAGGGTAAACCTTGATTTTGTTTTTATTAAAGGTCATTAAAAGATACTTCAGAAGTCTGAAAAGGAATCCCGCAATCTAGGAATCAACATTTTCCAGGGGCTAACATGATTCCGCCTCTCCCCCGGTTCCTTCTTAGGGTTCATTGATTCATTAAAAAACGTCAAGAGAGGGAAATCAAAATTTCAGAAGTTGAGAAAACCCGTTTCCCGACATATAGGAATCAACATTTTCCCACCACCGTCCTATTTGGGGTTCATCGGTTCATGGAAAACAAAATAGGTCTGCGTATGCAACTACTCTTTTTTTTATACACACATAGGCCTGTTTACTGTAATAAGAATGACAAAGTTGACATGACTGTTTTCAAAGGAGGGAAAGAACTTAAATGTCATTAAAATATTTTCATTTTTCGCCATTTAGGAAACAACATTTTTCCGGGGAGGACTTCGACCCCCTTTCATTTGAAGGTAAATTATTCTAGGAATCATTTTTTTTTTCTGACACTTTCTCTTTTGTTTTTATTTTTTTAATTATTTTTTTTAAACATTTTTACTCCATCCTAAATCTGAAGCCAAATTGCCTCTGGAGATTATAAGGGCATCCCAAGGTGGGTGATGGGATGGGGGTAAATACCCGATAAAGTGGGACCGCTCATTTAATTTCTTCTTTCATTTATTTATTTAGCATCCATTCAAATACAACAATTATTGCTCACGCAAATTATAGCGATATTAGGTAAATTCAGTCTGTTTGACCGTGATCTTTTGTGCTTATTTTCACTGGTGAGGGCTGACTGATGGAGTGGACGTGGACTAAGAGGGTACTGCAGGTGTCTTCTTAACACTCCACCTTCCACCCTTTTCTTTGAAGAAATGTATTTTAATAATGTCACAAAGTGTAAAATGTTCTAATTTGAATTTGCCGGTCTAGAAACCCTCATTCGTGTCATACTGAGCTCTGGCAAGTTATTCTGTCTAGATCTTGAATTTTACGTCGTCCAATAAAAAAAATATACTTTAATGACGTCATACATATTTAAATATGCTTGCGTTGAAATCTACAGGTTAGAAAAACCCTATATGTTCTAATAACCAAGGTAATATGAATCTGCCTAGGTATTACAATGAATATTTACTCATCCAATCAAAAAAACAGTAATTTGATGATGTCATACATATTTAAAAATAGTTTAATTGAATTCAGAAGGTTTGAAAATCCCTAAAACAGTCTTAACATGAACATAATCAGTATTTTCTTATGAGTATTGACTTTTGGCACACTTTAAAACAATTCTGGCCCACTGTGCGGCGTCCGTCCGGTCAACACGGCTCGCACATGCACACACAATTACACAAAACTGTAAAAATTCCACAGCTCCTACCAGGATAGGCATGAGGCTGCTTAATCAAATCGTACGCCTGACGATCACTTGTCATAAACAAATATCGATATTAATAAGTAGCTTATTCTGCTACTAATTACTCATAAGGTAGCTATAATTACCGTATCCTCGTCGCCAAAATGTAATGTTTATCATCCTTATAAACAATACAACACGGAGCCGTCAGGTAGTGTGCATGCCAACCATATTTACTTCTCCCTTGACCTCCTCTACAGGGCGTACTACACTACACATACAACGTTGCTTCGTCCTTGTAGGACTCATCAGCAGACCTGCCAACCCTTGGGTCATGAAAATCTGGAGATTTTTTTACAAATCATAAAATATCTGGAGATTTACCAACAAATCTGGAGGTTTCCAGAATTACCAAAAAGATGATGCAAGATACTAAGAAAGTCCCGTCACTACAAATCATTGGCCGTTTGGTGGCGAAATTCGAATTGAAAGTTGCTGTTTGTTTATTGCACCGCGAAGCGAGCAGGCAAATACATTGAATTATAACGATCAAATTATGAATAAATTGGAGTATTTTTGGGGAGGAGGGTGGCCTGTGAAATCGGGTGAAAATTTTGTCGTGGAAATCTCACCCTTCGACGGGGACCTCGGCCCCCCGTCGGGTAACAGGTAACGATAGCTGCTGGGCAAATGTCACCTGGACAGCACCCTATGTTACAGACAACTCTGGAGACTCTTTCACACCAGTATGTGATCATATTGGAAGCACATTTTATGATGTCAGCACTGTTGTAACATATAATGCCACTGACAATTATAATAACACTGGCAATTGTACATTTAACATTGCTATTTATGGTAAGTTATAATCTGCTTAACGTATAATTATTATTAACAATATAAAATAAATTTCGAAGAGTTTATGAATTACATGTCTCCCTCTAATTAAAGACCCCTCCTCTATACTACTCATATGAGACCGTCGGTAGCGTACCCTTGTTGTAGTGGAACAATATTGCGAAATGTCATACAAAAATAGAGGTCAGGGAATATAGTAAAGTGAAGTCAGCGATATCCAATAAAGTAACATAATTTAAAGAACAGTCAAGGAAAAATCCCCCCCCCCACACATGTTTTGATATATTATATCATTGGAATATCTGTATGATTACATTTTGTTCATTTGTACAGATGAGACAGCCCCTAATGTGACTTGCCCAGTTGACATTGAGGTGTGTACGGACTTAGGAACAGATTCGGTCAATGCCACCTGGGAACCAGCCAATGCAACCGACAACTGCTGTAGTGATGTCAACATAAGTACTAACTACACTAGCGGAAATTCTCTGTCAATTGGTGTATACACAGTAGGATATGCAGCAACAGATTGTAATGGGAATGTTGGTTACTGTCAATTTACTGTTGAAGTTAAAGGTACTAGAAACATTTTCAAATAATTAACATCATTAAACGTACTTATTAGTAATTAAGAATAAGTTTGGTTGTTCACAAGAACATATTTGAAATAATAATAAAAACACATTCTGTAGTTAAGCCATTTGATTTTACAAATGAATATAATATGTTGCACTGACAGCATTTTGTGGATTATAATTAGATTGTGAGCCTCCAGACCTTCAATGTCCACCTAGCCAAAACGTAACAGGTAACGATAACTGCTGGGCAAATGTCACCTGGACAGCACCCTATGTTACAGACAACTCTGGAGACTCTTTCACACCAGTATGTGATCATATTGGAAGCACATTTTATGATGTCAGCACTGTTGTAACATGTAATGCCACTGACAATTATAATAACACTGGCAATTGTACCTTTACCATTACTATTTATGGTAAGTTATAATCTGATTGACGTGTAATTACTATAACAATATAAAATACATTTAGAAGAGTTTATGAATTACATGTCTCCTTCTAATTAAAGACCCCTCCTCTATACTACTCATATGAGACCGTCGGTAGCGTACCCTTGTTGTAGTGGAACAATATTGCGAAAATTCATAAAAAATAGAGGTCAGTGATTATAGTAAAGTGAAGTCAGCGATATCCAATAAAGTAACATAATTTAAAGAATAGTCCAGGAAAAAGCCCCCACCCCCTACACACACACACACATATGTTATGATATATTTTACCATTGGAATATCTGTATGATTACATTTTATTTATTGTACAGATGAGACAGCCCCTTATGTGACTTGCCCAGTTGACATTGAGGTGTGCACGGACATAGGAACAGATTCAGTCGATGCCACCTGGGAACCAGCCAATGCAACCGACAACTGCTGTAGTGATGTCAACATAACTACTAACTACACTAGCGGAAATTCTCTCTCAATTGGTGTATACACAGTAGGATATGCAGCAACAGATTGTAATGGGAATGTTGGTTACTGTCAATTTACTGTTGAAGTTAAAGGTACCAAAAAACATTTTCAAATAATTAACCTCATTAAACGTACTTATTAGTAATTAAAAATAAGTTAAGTTGTTCACAAGAACATATTTGAAATAATTATAAAAACATATTCTGTAGTTAAGCTTTGTAACATCAAGGCTGGATTGTTGTAACTCATTGCTTTATGGATTACCAGCTAAGGATATTTCAAAACTTCAGCGAGTTCAGAATGCAGCTGCCCGTTTGGTCACTTTAAGCCCAATTAGAGATCATATCACTCCTGTGTTAAGGCACCATCATTGGCTTCCTGTAACACAGAGAATTACTTACAAGATTTTATTATTTGTTTTCAAAGCACTACATAATTCCTCGCCAATGTTTATTTCACAACTCATTCATCCTTACATTCCTAAGAGGTCTCTGAGATCTAGTTCAGAATCTCTACTTGCTCATTCCACTCGCCCGTCGACAAAGCATTATGGTAGTCGTTCTTTTTCTTGGGCTTCTGTCTTCCTTTGGAATGCTCTGCCTATTACAATCCAACAGGCAACTTCCATTGATGACTTTAAGGCAGCTTTAAAAACTTACCTTTTTAGCTTGTATTTTTTTTTTCCAGAATTTTATTTTTACTGTTAAGCGCATTGAGGCTTTAGCATAATGCGCTATATAAGCCAAAATTATTATTATTATTATTAAACGATTTGATTTTACAAATGAATGTTATATATGTTGCACTGACAGCATTTTATGGATTATAATTAGATTGTGAGCCTCCAGACCTTCAATGTCCACCTAGCCAAAACGTAACAGGTAACGATAACTGCTGGGCAAATGTCACATGGACAGCACCCTATGTTACAGACAACTCTGGAGACTCTTTCACACCAGTATGTGATTATATTGGAAGCACATTTTATGATGTCAGCACTGTTGTAACATGTAATGCCACTGACAATTATAATAACACTGGCAATTGTAACTTTACCATTGCTATTTACGGTAAGTTATAATCCGATTGGCGTATAATTATTATTAAATATATAAAATACATTTCGAAGAGTGGAACAATATTGCGAAAAGTCATACAAAGATAGAGGTCCGAGAACATAGTAAAGTGAAGTCAGCGATATCCAATAAAGTAACATAATTTAAAGAATAGTCCAGTAAAAAACCCTCCTCCCACACAAACACACATGTTTTGATATTTTTTATCATTGGAATATCTGTATGATTACATTTTATTTATTGTACAGATGAGACAGCCCCTAATGTGACTTGCCCAGTTGACATTGAGGTGTACACGGACATAGGAACAGATTCAGTTGATGCCACCTGGGAACCAGCCAATGCAACCGACAACTGCTGTAGTGATGTCAACATAACTACTAACTACACTAGCGGAAATTCTCTGACAATTGGTGTATACACAGTAGGATATGCAGCAACAGATTGTAATGGGAATGTTGGTTACTGTCAATTTACTGTTGAAGTTAAAGGTACCACAAACTTTTTCAAATAATTAACATCATTAAACGTACGTTTTAGTAGATAAAAATAAGTATGGTTGTTTAAAAGAACGTGTTTGAAATAATAATAATAACATGATCTGTAGTTAAGCCATTCAATTTTACAAATGAATGTAATATATGTTGCACTGACAGCATTTTATGGATTATAATTAGATTGTGAGCCTCCAGACCTTCAATGTCCACCGAGCCAAAACGTAACAGGTAACGATAACTGCTCGGCAAATGTCACATGGACAGCACCCTATGTTACAGACAACTCTGGAGACTCTTTCACACCAGTATGTGATTATATTGGAAGCACATTTTATGATGTCAGCACTGTTGTAACATGTAATGCCACTGACACACTGGCAATTGGAACTTTACCATTGCTATGTACGGTAAGGTATAGTCTGATTGGCGTATAGTTATTATTAAATATATAAAATACATTTTTGAAAAGTGGAACAATATTGCAAAAGTCATACAAAGATAGAGGTCAGAGAACATAGTAAAGTGAAGTCAGCGATATCCAATAAAGTAACATAATTTAAAGAATAGTCCAGGAAAAATGCCCTCCTTTAACACAAACACACATGTTTTAATATTTTTTATCATTGGAATATCAGTATGATTACATTTTATTTATTGTACAGATGAGACAACCCCTAATGTGACTTGCCCAGTTGACATTGAGGTGTGCACGGACATAGGAACAGATTCAGTCGATGCCACCTGGGAACAAGCCAATGCAACCGACAACTGCTGTAGTGATGTCAACATAACTACTAACTACACTAGCGGAAATTCTCTGACAATTGGTGTATACACAGTAGGATATGCCGCAACAGATTGTAATGGGAATGTTGGTTACTGTCAATTTACTGTTGAAGTTAAAGGTACTACAAACAAACTTTTTGAAATAATTAACATCATTAAACGTACGTTTTAGTAGATAAAAATAAGTTTGGTTGTTTAAAAGAACGTGTTTGAAATAATAATAATAACATATTCTGTAGTTAAGCCATTTAATTTTACAAATGAATGTAATATATGTTGCACTGACAGCATTTTATGGATTATAATTAGATTGTGAGCCTCCAGACCTTCAATGTCCACCTAGTCAAAACATAACAGGTAACGATAACTGCTGGGCAAATGTCACATGGACAGCACCCTATGTTACAGACAACTCTGGAGACTCTTTCACACCAGTATGTGATTATATTGGAAGCACATTTTATGATGTCAGCACTGTTGTAACATGTAATGCCACTGACAATTATAATAATACTGGCAATTGTAACTTTACCATTGCTATTTACGGTAAGTTATAATCTGATTGGCGTATAATTAT